TGAGATACGAAACCGGTTTATCTGTACTCGTAAACTGATAATAATAGCCTGTCTGCTTGTTCGGAAATTGTTTATCCGTGTATTCCTAATCCTATATAAGCAGAGCAAGTTCGTAACAATGTGAAGACATATAAGATGAATGGAAGGACCTTGTAAATCTGTGATCATGTTAAGCTGTCGATATCGTTTCTATAAAAGACCGATACCTGGGTACCTGTTATCCATATATCTATTGACACTTTTGCCAAGACAAGTAGTAAACTTTGTATTTGCCACTTTAAACAATTTCTTGTTCATCTTTTGTGGCATAAAAGTTTTGGATCAGAACTGTATTGAAATATTACTAGAATAACACACATTGGTTTAACCTTGTTTTAATTTGCATATTGGTATCCCCTTTTCGCAATTCTTTTTGTCCGAAAATGGAAGTACTAAATTTTCTGCTATTGTTTTTTTTTTCCTTACAATGATACAAACATTAGTGGTAGATCTATAATAGTTTTTATCTGTTTTTGGACCTAAACTGTCCATCTATCAAAATAATCATTACCATGCCCAGTGCCCTGATGACATACAACTTTTCCCTTATTCATCATTTGGTAAAATTTAAGAAAGAAATGAAGAAATTAGTTGAATTTTAAAGATTTGAATTAAGCAGTTTATTTATTATTAAGCCACATGCAGAAAATGACATCAAAGTCACATGGTATGGACACACTGTTTTATACTTATGTCATAGCAATGATCTTTTCAAACTTCCCGCTATGACAAACAGGTAATAGCCTATACTTATAATAGGGTATCACTGTTTATCAATCAATGTATAAGTATTGGTTAGAACGGCAAATCATGCATTGTTCTTCCATTCCCCTTATAAGTCTTCCTGGCACAAACTCAGCAATGTAAAAGGCCCATTATGCCCAAAAGATGCAATTATTTTTATTTCTAAATAAAAGCTTTTTATTTTTGGTGTCTTGTTACAGGAAGTCAAAATACTAGTTTGTTCACAATTTGCTACTTTTATGATAAACAATTTCACATACAACTCTACTTTCTTTATGTGTAAACCATCTAAAATGCTCTTAGACCATTTTTAAAGGGTTATAAAACTCATGTTTTAAAGTTAACAAACATATAATTAAGTGAAACCTGCGAAATTTGTGTAATGGACATCCAGAACAATTCATTATGAATATGAATGATTTTGATATCAATTACAGAAAATTTTTAAGCAGCACGCCTCCAGATTCATGTTAATTTTCATGAAAATTTTGTAAAATATTGTGAGATGAACAAATAAAGTTATTAACATATTGCAATCGGCACCTACAATCCAAGAAAATACCAAAATTTAAAAGTGGTCAACGTATGTAAAGACAGCCCTAACTGAGTTACATGTAGTTAGGCAGTGAAATATGGTGATAAAATACTGCAAAATCAGTTTTAAACCACATATAACATGTAAAATTAAACTTGGATCTTGAATTTTTTTACCTTTCTTAAAGTGTTAATTAGTACATTTTGCTAATAATTGATTTTATTGAAATATTTTGGCGTGTAGCTGTAATTTTTTTATAGCCTCAGCAGAAAAATAAAATATTGTATAAGTTAATAATAAGTTAAATATTGTCATACAAATAACATTAAAGATGTTATATGTCATATTGGAACACGAAAAAAAAGAAGAATTTATATGTAAAGCAGGAGTACACCTTCCATGCTAATTTTTATGAACATTCAAAATGTATTCAAATTCTAAAATATTGTGAAGTCAGCAAAGAAAATATTTTATTTACACAATGCAAACAGCACTTACAACCACTTTAAATTACCAAAAAGGGTCAAAGTGTGAAAAAAGTAGCCTTTACTTGTGACTGTGTTAGTCATGCGGTAGAAATATGGTGATAATACTGCACAATTAGTCATTAATTGCACACAACATGGAAATTATTAATTATTACTATTATCTTAAACTTTTTACTTTTCTTAAAATGTAAGTACAATTTTCTGATGTTTGATCTGGAGGCATGCATCTTTAAAAGAGAAAAATATTTGGATTAATGGTTATACAGTGAATTAATGAATATAATAAGGTGAGGACTGTCTGAAATTAAAGAATGGATAAAATCCTTTTAAAAAACATACACAACATTGTGATCCTAAATGATATACTTTTGAAATATTTGTCAATCTGTATAAAAGACTTGAGTGTTACATACATACATTTGTTTAAAGGCTAGAGAATGGTTTTGAAATTTAATAATTGACCATAAATCGGGGGGAGGTATTTCTAATAATAATACATGTAATAAAATTGGAGAGTATAAGGTTTATTTTATATGAAATTATGTATTGTTGGTATATAATGATAATAATTAATTATACATTTCCTAAAAAAAATGAAGCCTAAGTGACATTGTGTTAACTCTTATGTTTTATTTGAAGTAGCATTGTGTCACGTACATTTGAAGTTTTGTAATTGTTAATTACATGTGCATGTATAATTATGTTTATTTCATTCAGACAGGAAGTTATCCTGAATAACAAACACACGTGACTGGTTCACATGGTGTTGACTAATTGTGACTGGATGTGACTGGTTCACAAGGTAATGACTGGAATGGATTGTTACATTAAAATGTAGTGAAAGGCAGGCTGAAACTTGTACATGTAAGTGGTCATTTACCATAAACTAACCATGATCCTGCAATTTGTATAATGAATTTGCCCTGCTTTGCATTTGGAACAGTTCATTCTAATTTTAAGGTATTACATGTGTAGATGTATAATTAACACTTTTTCAAAAGGCATTGAAAACTTTATATTAATAAACTGTATTATATTCTGGTCATAAATACCAACAATTACAAAAGTTTACGATCTTGTTAGAAAAATACCGTATTGACAATTGAAGTTTTTTTTTTTGTATCAGTTTTATACAACAACAAAAAAAAGAATATGTTTACATTATCTGAAGAAAAAGACTTGTTATTTTACATCAAATAAGAAGAGGGTGGGGTAAGTGAACCTGTCAGATTCTATATCAAAATACAAAAAAATGAGCTATAAATAGAAAATACAATAATTTGAGCTATTAATAGTTATAATAGAACCCGGTCAGACTGCTTGCATGGAAGTATCTTTGCAGTCTCGTCTTTCTCATATATATAATAGTGTCATGGCTAATATCTCTTCTGGTCTCATTGTGGTAATGGTTAATTATGCTTGTACTCAAGGGTTAAATTTTTGATGTTTCAAAATTTAATTTAAGCTATAAGAAAATGATTCTATCATAAATTGGAAAGAAAGGATAGTGGGTTTTTAAGTTAATATGAACTTGGTCCTTATATTGCTGGATGGCCTAAAATCGTCCCTATCCAATAGTCAACACTGTAACTGTGTATGTGACTGTCACAAAGTATAAACAATTGTTTGTTAATAAAGAAAGCAGTTGAATATTTCAAACAACACAGTAAATTGATTGTAACTGCTAAATTTCATCAACATAGAATGCTTGTATCAATAGAAAACATAGTGTCTCTAAACAAGCACTGTAAAATGCTTAGGGCAACGAATCATGGTCTCCTTTTGATATGTTATGATGCTCTATATTTCGGTCAAGTCCTTTTCCTAATTAACATTAAAAAACATACACACACTGGCACAGAGGCTTACATCTCTTAGAACATAAGTAGATTTGAAGTGTTATTCAGAAACTAACAATTCTAAATTGGCAGTCTTAAGAACTTAAGTTAATGTAAATACTTAAAGATCGTGGTTTGATGGTAAACCTAAATAACATATCATAACATAACCAAAACTAGAAATGTGTCATCATGCCACAGATGCCCCTGCATGCAGCCAAAATTTCAGATGTTATAATATTTAGTTCCAGATTTGTTTTCACAAATTATTTTTTTCATTTTAAGTTCAAAGCCCTTAAAACTGTTCAATGTTAACACAAACCATTTTCATACAATGTTCAAGGCACTGAAATTATTCAGTCTTAACCTTTTAACAAGAGCGATCAGTAATCACATGTGTCGCCTCATGATGGCCAATTTCATGTTGGGACAAATTTTGTGACAGACAGACAGACGGACAACTAGACTTGGTACTGATCATTCCTGTAAAGTTTGGATAAAATTGCACCAGTAGTTTATGAGGAGTAGTCCGGACAAGCTTTTGCGTATCTGGCAACACACAGAAAAAAAACACCTTTATATCAAAGGGCCATAACTCAGCCAAAAATCATTCAACCGGAAAACCCGTGCAATATGCGCAAGGACTTGAGCTACAGATCAATCCTTTTAAGTTTCATTGAAATTGCATTAGTGGGATAAGAGAAGTAGTCCGGACAAACTTTAAAAATAAAAATTATTTAAGGGCCATAACTCTGACAAAAATCATTGAACCGAAAAATGCTGACAATATGCACAACTATACTTGGTACTGATCATTCCTGTAAAGTTTGGATGAAATTGCACCAGTAGTTTATGAGGAGTAGTCCGGACAAGCTTTTGTGTATCTGGCAACACACAGAAAAAAACACCTTTTTATCAAAGGGCCATAACTCGGCCAAAAATCATTCAACCGGAAAACCCTTGCAATATGCGCAAGGGCTTGAGCTACAGATCAATCCTGTAAAGTTTCATTGAAATTGCATTAGTGGTATAAGAGAAGTAGTCCGGACAAACTTTTAAATGAAAAATTATTAAAGGGCCATAACTCTGACAAAAATCATTGAACCGGAAAATGCTGACAATATGCACAACTAGACTTGGTACTGATCATTCCTGTAAAGTTTGGATGAAATTGCACCAGTAGTTTATGAGGAGTAGTCCGGACAAGTTTTGTGACGGACGGATGGACAGACAGACGGACAGACAGACAGACGACGGAGAAGTGATCCCTATATGTCGCCACTACTCCGTAGAGGGGACACAAAAATAGCATATTGCATATTTGTAGCCAAAATAATGGCTACATACATTTCCACAAAAGTATGAGTGCTGAAACTGAAAGTTCAAAATTTTTCCAACATTCAGGAAAGATAAGTTTGTCCAAAATCATTGAACCACGACCAAATTCAAACTTAAACTGCTTATTCCTTAGATGTATCTATATTATTTTCAAAGTGAAAGGAACATAACTCTGCTAAAAAATCATCAAACCATGACCAAATTCCAACTTGACCTGCCCATTCCTTTGACATATCCATATGTCAAATTTGAGTTGAATATGTAACACTGTTGGGTAGATAATGAACAGAAACTATAAATTTCATATTATTTTCAAAGTGAAAGGGGCATTACTTTGCCAAAAATTCATTGAACCATGACCAAATTCTAACTATGCCTGGGTATTCCAAAAACATATCCATATGTCAATTTTGAGTTGAATTTGTTGTACCGTTGGGGAGATAATGAACGCAAACTGAAAATTTCATATTTGTTTCAAAGTGAAAGGGGCATAACTCTGCCATGCCAAAAATTATTGAACCATGACCAAATTTGAACTTGACCTGCGCATTCCTTTAACGTATCCATATGGCAAGTTTTGAGTTGAAAGTGTTGTACTGTTGGGGAGATAATGAACGGAAACTGAAAATTTCATATTGTTTTCAAAGTAAAAGGGGCATAACTCTGCCAAAAATCATTGAACCATGACCAAATTGGAACTTGACCTGTATTTTCTCATGACATATCCATATGTCAAGTTTGAGTTGAATCTGTTGTACCGTTGGGGAGATAATGAACGGAAACTGAAAATTTCATATTATTTTCAAAGTAAAAGAGGCATAACTCTGCCAAAAATCATTGAACCATGACCAAATTCGAACTTGATCTGTATTTTCCCATGACATATCCATATGCCAAATTTGAGTTGAATGTGTGCAACCGTTCTTGAAATAATGAACGGAAACTGATGATGACGGAAGGAAGGAATGACAGAATGACGGAAGGATGGAATGACGGAACAGGGTAACACTATATGCCCCGGCCATTACATGGCGGGGGCATATAAAAAGTGTGGCATAAGCATAACTTGACTTAGCATAGCATAAACATAGCATAAAAAATAGTGTGGCATAACAAAAATAGTGTGGCATATGAATAACATAGGCATAACAATGATAGCATAGCATTGCATAATATAACACAACACATCTGTTTAAAAATATAACAGCACATAAGATAATCTCACTACTTAAATGCCAGTATTGTCCATCTGTCAAATTTATTTTTAAAACTTTGCATTAAGTGTCCTATATTTTACTGAATGTTGAACCTGATGACCTAAATATTGTTCTAAAATTTGACTTATTTGTTTATATACATGAACATGTACATAATGGTGAAAACATTTGCATTAATGAAGTATTCATGAGGTACGGTATGTAACTAAAAAGCAGATACAAATGTTAAACAAAAGATAAAAATAAATCTGGTTAGTGGCAAATGTTAATGAAAATGGATGTACTCATGTATGTATTTATTAAATTGGATTAGATTTTCATCCATATTGTCTTTCATACTGGTGTGTAAGATCTGTCATAAATTGTCAATATTAGTTCAGTTTTAGGAAAATCTGAACTGATGAAAACAGTGTCTATTCTAGGAGGGATGGGGGGATTCACCTATATTTTTGAGAATTATTCCCCCCTATTTTTTCAGAGGAAGGGGGAAAATTTTACAAAGAGAAAGAAGGAAAAACCTCAACAAAAGTAATAAAGTCTCACTTTTCGATAAAAATCCCCCCCTGTTTTTCGAATCCTAGAATAAACACTGTGAAAAGTGGGGTATTGTTTTGATAAAATAGTTTACACAAATCTAAAAAAGAAGGTAGGTACAAAGGATATATTTAAATAATTAGAAATTCCTTACTGTAAATTGATTTACATGTATTTGATAATTGATCGATGTCAGAGTGGAGGGTGTATAAATGTTTATTACAATAAAGCATCAAACAATAATTAAGAAAAACAACAATTAAAAAAACAATTTGTATGATCTAGAGTACCAAATTGATATTTTTAAGGCATAGATAGGATGTTAAGCAAAATGTGAGCAGGTCCTGTAGGTTTGAATCCTGCCAGGGACTTTGGAATCTTTTATGTGAGGAAACTATCCAGCTAGCTTACGAAATGTCAGTGGTTCTACTCGGGGTGCCTGCTTGTGCCTGAAATAATGCACAAAGTCAGGCACCTGAGGTCTTCTTCTAACAGTAAAGCGGGATAATGGTCATATTATCTCTTTATAAAGTGTTGGTTTGACATAAAACTTAGGGGTGTAACAATACGGTAAAAACTGTATTGCAATATATTGCCATTTTGGCAAAGCGTATTGCAATATATGACAATATGTATTGTCGTGTATATGTTTTGATGTAAAGATGGGGTAACATTATATATTATTATTATGATATGTAAATATTCTTAGTAGAAACTTAATCTTCGGATGTTTCAAAATTCAAAATTGTACCAGTTCATGTTAAATGTTGAATTCTGCTTATGCCGGTGCTAGGGGCGTGGATGGTAGCTTGCACTTGACAGTACCGTCCATGAACAGGCTCTGCAACATTTTCAATTTTGGGCTTTCTTATGAGATTCTTATTTTCTCTATTTTAATAAAAATGTAAGGACTAAATAGAAAGTAAAGTGTTGATAAACAAAACTAGTCGCGCATGACCTTTCACATCTGGGTCGCTTATGTAAAATACGTGGCCAGCTTATCGACCTTTAAGTGTACCAGTTGTCGGATATTTTTATCATAAGTTGGCGCCAATTAAATTCGCCAATTAAAGATTGTATGCTAAATTTGTACGAAATTAGAAGGCAATTAATTGAAAATTATAATTTTTATAAAATACCGGTTTTCCTAAAATCGTTTCATGGTACGAAATTTATTTTTTCATATTGCAATATATTGGTATACCGGTAAACTGTTACAGCCTTACATAAAACTCAACAAAAAAATAAACAACAACTATCATAAATAACAACTGTGAAGCATCAGACTTATGAATATATAGGGAAACAAATTCTTATTTAATGCAGCAGGAAACACTTGATATTTTTTCTATTCATTAAATAAACTGTAGGAAAGTAGGGAAAAAATTACATGGTGTTTTATTTTCTTTAATTAAGATGTTTTGTATTGTGGCAAGACTAATTGCTTATCGTAATGGTATATCCACTTTAGTAACATTATATTATTCTAATTGTTGGTTAAGACTCCTCTTATTGTTACATAATAGTGTTTTTTTTCCTTATATAACTACTACCCTAAAACGGTACTGTTCCCAATAGAAAATAGACATTAAAATTCCCAATTTCCAATGTTTAAATTCCCAAAATTGCTGTTCAAAATTGCCACAAGGCCAAGTGATTTCTCTGAAATCATTTAAATACAATATTTTCATACAAATCACCACTCAATAGTTCTACCTGGACAGTGGAAGCTGTAAGCTGTTTTTATTCATGATGACTAATCTTAATTGTAGCTGAAAAAATGCATGAAAAAAATCCCAATTTAATTAAAAATAACGCATTTTTTCCAAATCAGTCTGGTACCGGCACCATTCCCAAAGTAGAGAAAAAAAACGCTGCATAATACTCCTTACAAATGTGTACAGTTATAAACCTTGGATTTTGTTGAATATCTATTGGAGATAGTCAGAGTTATAGCCCTCTTTTGGAGTTATGGCCCTTGATAATGCAAGAATTTTTTTTTTTATTCTTGTGTAGCAAAAGTTTTTGCTTTTGTTACATGTAAAACCAGAAACATAGTGGCTATGCTTATTCAAATGCATCAGCCGTTCAACATAATTTTTGGTGACAACATAGTGGAATGTGGAAACATCTATGTCCTTAGTGTGGAAATTTGTCTAGTTCATACAATTATCACTGGTTTTTGATGAACTATCTATAGATTTTTATGTAATTGTTATAGAAGTTCTTACCATTCATTATGTTGTATTTTTATTTTTTCCACAGGGTCAGAATGAACAAATAGAAGAGGATAATTGATGATCCAGTTTATTGTGGTCCAGTGGGTAGAAATCATTTCTTTCAAAGTGCTGGTGAGATTTAATGATTTCAAATGGATTGGTCTACCTTAAAGTGGACTGGTCTACCTTAAAGTGGATTGATCTACTTTAAAGTTGATTGGTCTACCTTAAAATGGATGGTCTACCGTAGAGAGGATGGTCTACCTTAAAGTGGATTTGTCTACCTTAAAGTGGATGGTCTACCTTAGAGTGGATGGTCTACCTTAGAGTGGATTTGTCTACCTTAAAGTGGATTTGTCTACCTTAGAGTGAATGGTCTACCTTAAAGTGGATTGGTCTACCTTAAAGTGGATTGGTCTACCTTAAAGTGGATTGGTCTACCTTAAAGTTGATTGGTCTACCTTAAAGTGGATTGGTCTACCTTAAAGTGGATGGTCTACCTTAGAGTGGATGGTCTACCTTAAAGTGGATTGGTCTACCTTAAAGTGGATTGGTCTACCTTAGAGTGGATTGGTCTACGTTAAGGTGTTTTGGTCTATGTTAAAGTGGATTGGTCTACCTTAAAGTGGATTGGTCAACCTTAAAGTGGATTGGTCTACCTTAAAGTGGATTGGTCTACCTTTAAGTGGATTAGTCTACCTTTAAGTGGATTGGTCTTCCTTAAAGTGGATTGGTCTACCTTAGAGTGGATTGGTCTACCTTAAAGTGGATTGATCTACCTTAAAGTGGATTGGTCTACCTTAAAGTGGAATGGTCTACCTTAAAGTGGATTGGTCTACCTTAGAGTGTATGGTCTACCTTAAAGTGGATTGGTCTATCTTATAGTGGATTGGTCTACCTTAGAGTGGATTGGTCTACCTTAGAGTGGATTGGTCTACCTTAGAGTGGATTGATCTACCTTAAAGTGGATTGGTCTACCTTAAAGTGGATTGACCTACTTTAGAGTGGATTGGTCTACTTTAGAGTGGATTGGTCTACTTTAAAGTGGATTGATCTACCTTTAAGTGGATTGGTCTTTCTTAAAGTGGATTGATCTACCTTAAAGTGGACTGGTCTACCTTAAAGTGGACTGGTCTACCTTAAAGTGGATTGGTCTACCTTAAAGTGGATTGGTCTACCTTAAAGTGGATTGGTCTACCTTAGAGTGGATTGGTCTACCTTAGAGTGGATTGATCTACCTTAAAGTGGATGGTCTACCTTAAAGTGGATTGGTCTACCTTAGAGTGGATTGGTCTACCTTAAATTGGATTGGTCTACTTTAAAGTGGATTGATCTACCTTAAAGTGGATTGGTTTACCTTAAAGTGGATTGGTTTACCTTAAAGTGGATGGTCTACCTTAAAGTGGATTGGTTTACCTCAAAGTGGATTTGTCTACCTTAAAGTGGATTGGTCTACCTTAAAGTGAATTGGTCTACCTTAAAGTGGATTGGTCTACCTTAGAGTGGATGGTCTACCTTAGTGTGGATTGGTCTACCTAAAAGTGGATTGGTCTACGTTAAGGTGTTTTGGTCTATGTTAAAGTGGATTGGTCTACCTTAAAGTGGATTGGTCAACCTTAAAGTGGATTGGTCTACCTTAAAGTGGATTGGTCTACCTTTAAGTGGATTAGTCTACCTTTAAGTGGATTGGTCTTCCTTAAAGTGGATTGGTCTACCTTAGAGGTGGATTGGTCTACCTTAAGTGGATTGATCTACCTTAAAGTGGATTGGTCTACCTTAAAGTGGAATGGTCTACCTTAAAGTGGATTGGTCTACCTTAGAGTGTATGGTCTACCTTAAAGTGGATTGGTCTATCTTATAGTGGATTGGTCTACCTTAGAGTGGATTGGTCTACCTTAGAGTGGATTGGTCTACCTTAGAGTGGATTGGTCTACCTTAGAGTGGTATTGATCTACCTTAAAGTGGATTGGTCTACCTTAAAGTGGATTGGCCTACTTTAGAGTGGATTGGTCTACCTTAGAGTGGATTGGTCTACTTTAAAGTGGATTGATCTACCTTTAAGTGGATTGGTCTTTCTTAAAGTGGATTGATCTACCTTAAAGTGGACTGGTCTACCTTAAAGTGGACTGGTCTACCTTAAAGTGGATTGGTCTACCTTAAAGTGGATTGGTCTACCTTAGAGTGGATTGGTCTACCTTAGAGTGGATTGATCTACCTTAAAGTGGATGGTCTACCTTAAAGTGGATTGGTCTACCTTAGAGTGGATTGGTCTACCTTAAATTGGATTGGTCTACTTTAAAGTGGATTGATCTACCTTAAAGTGGATTGGTTTACCTTAAAGTGGATTGGTTTACCTTAAAGTGGATGTCTACCTTAAAGTGGATTGGTTTACCTCAAAAGTGGATTTGTCTACCTTAAAGTGGATTGGTCTACCTTAAAGTGAATTGGTCTACCTTAAAGTGGATTGGTCTACCTTAGAGTGGATGGTCTACCTTAGTGTGGATTGGTCTACCTAAAAGTGGATTAATCTACCTTAAAGTGGATTGGTCTACCTTAAAGTGGATGGTCTACCTTAAAGTAGTTTGGTCTACCTTAGAGTGGATTGGTCTACCTTAAAGTGGATAGGTCTACCTTAAAGTGGATTAGTCTACCTTAAAGTGGATTAGTCTACCTTAAAGTGGATTGATCTACCTTAAAGTGGATTGGTCTACCTTAAAGTGGACTGGTCTACCTTACAGTGGATTGGTCTACCTTAAAGTGGATGGTCTACTTTAAAATGGATGGTTTCCTTACAGTGGATAGGTCTACCTTAAAGTAAATTGGTCTACCTTTAAGTGGATTGGTCTACCTCAAAGTGGATTGGTCTACCTTAAAGCTGCATGCCTCCAGATGAGCCAAAATATTTCAAGAAAATAAAACTTGAGAAAAATGTATTGAGGTTTAGTGAAAAAAGTAAAAAAAGTAAAGATAAAAGTTATACTTTCCATGTTATTTGCGATTGATGGCCAATTTTTCAGTTATTTTCACCATATTTCTACTGCGTTACTAATGCAGTAAGGGTTAATTTTGCATGTTTTAACCTTTTTTTTGTAATTTACATTGGTTGTAAGTGCTGTTTGAAATGTGCATATTATTTTCTCTGTTAGCTTAACAATATTTTACTTTTGAATACATTTTCAAAATTGTCATGAACATTAGCAGGAATCTGGAGGCGTGCTGCTTTAAAGTGGATAGTCTACCTTAAAGTGGATTGGTCTACCTCAAAGTGGATTGGTCTACCTTAGAGTGGATTTGTCTACCTCAAAGTGGATTGGTAGACCGCCTCCGTGGTCGAGGGGTTAGAGTCGATGACTTCTTATCCAGTCACCTCACTGGCGTGGGTTCAATCCCTGGGAGATGCTTTGGTAGTTTAGCGCGGAGGAAGGTAGTCTAGTACTGGTGTAACTCTCCAGGAACGATGGTTAGGAAACTACCCGCCTATTTGACTGAAATACTGTTGGAAAAGGCATAAAATGAAACAAACAAACAAAGTGGATTGATCTACCTTAAAGTGGATTGGTCTACCTTAAAGTGGATTGGTCTATCTTAAAGTGGATTGGTCTACCTTAAAGTGGATTTGTCTATCTTAAAGTGGATGGTCTACCTTAAGGTCTATCTTAAAGTGGATTGGTCTACTTTAAAGTGGATTGGTCTACCTTAAAGTGGATGGTCTACCTTAAAGTAGATTGGTCTACCTTAAAGTAGAGTGGTCTACCTTAAAGTGGACTGGTCTACCTTTAAGTTGATGGTGTACCTTAAAGTGGATTGGTCTACCTTAAAGTGGATGGTCTACCTTTAAGTTGATGGTGTACCTTAAAGTGGATTGGTCTACCTTAAAGTGGATTGGTCTACCTTAAAGTGGACTGGTCTACCTTAAAGTGGATTGGTCTACCTTAGAGTGGATTGATCTACCTTAAAGTGGATTGGTCTACCTTAAAGTGGACTGGTCTACCTTTAAGTTGATGGTGTACCTTAAAGTGGATTGGTCTACCTTAGAGTGGATTGGTCTACCTTAAAGTAGTTTGGTCTACCTTAGAGTGGATTGGTCTACCTTAAAGTGGATTGGTCTACCTTAAAGTTGATTAGTCTACCTTAAAGTGGATTAGTCTACCTTAAAGTGGATTTGATCTACCTTAAAGTGGATTGGTCTACCTTAAAGTGGATTGGTCTACCTTAAAGTGGATTGGTCTACCTTAAAGTGGACTGGTCTACCTTTAAGTTGATGGTGTACCTTAAAGTGGATTGGTCTACCTTAAAGTGGATGGTCTACCTTACAGTGGATTGGTCTATCTTAAAGTGGATTGGTCTACCTTAAAGTGGATGGTCTACCTTTAAGTGGATTGGTCTACTTTAAAGTGAATTGGTCAACCTTAAAGTTCCACACCCCAAGTGTCTGTGGTTATTCCATCATCAGTTTTAACGACTGAAAATTTATCCCTTTGGTACTAATAATCAGAACCAGGCCAGCCTGTACATCAGCCTGAACCTAGTTATACTGTTGGCTTACTTACTGTAAATTTTCGTCTTGACATCCCCAAATATGATAATGGACAGTTCCAAAAACAGAAGCTAGGCAAGTCCATTTCAGAAAATAAGTAATAAAAGTAAGCTATTGCTAGGTTTCTCAGGACACATATACGGTAATTAATGTTAATACATTGTAATAACCAGCATTCATTTGTTGGGCGTCCGTGGTTGAGTGGTTTAGGTCATTGACTTTAAACCACTCACCCATCACTGATGTTGGTTCAAATTCTGACAGGGACTTTGGAAACTTTCATGTGAGGAAGCTATCCAAGTGGCTTACAGAACCTCAGTGGTTCTACACAGGTTGCTGTTTATGCCTGAAATAATACACGGAAGGGCACCTGATGTCTTCCTCTGCTTGTAAAGCTGGAAAGTTGCCATGTGACCTATATTGTGTTGGTTCGACCTTAAACCCAGCATTCATAAACAGGTTCTGGAGGTTTTTTTACGAAACAGCTTTTTCATTGAATAAATATTTAAGTTAAATTCCTTTCAGAACATTCTTTTTATCTTAATTTTAAAATTGTGATATGATATTTTTTTTTTATTTTCAGGTAAATGGGGAAAAGGATTTCTCCAGTATGATCAAAGACATTGTATCACATTATATAATACTCCAAAATGAAGTGCAATATTTGTAATGTAGAGACACCTACAATCAGAATGCCATATCATTAAAGTGTAATCTGTATACCTTACCAGAGAAAACGGGAATCAACATGGAGGGGCAGGGTGATAACTGTATCCATGGCAGCAGTGAGAATACACCTCTTCTTGTAGAAGAGACTGGTTCAGGAACTGTAACTGGGACAGAACATTGCCAAGGAGAAGTTAATCAGACATCGGGATTCACTTTGAAACATTTAATGATTGTTCCTATGTGTGCCTGTTATTTTATTGCTGGATGCATTTACTTGTATATTTTCCCTCAGTACATTCAAAAGGTGATGGAGAATAGTGATGTGCAGGATTTTCCACACAAAATTTCACCACATGTTCCACATGTTATTTTTTCCCAACGTAATTATGTTTTTCAATCTCAGGAACAGACAGTTTCCGATGGGTGCTCTAATGTGAACAAGTCTGATGAGGCATACAAGAAGTTTGACCACATTCAACAGGAAACGGCCAAATGGATTATTTATTTCAACATATCGGTGCTAATACCGGCAATGTTAGCAAATTTGATCTGGGCATCTTTTTCTGATGTGCTTGGACGGAAATTTGCCATGTTCCTATGCTTGGCTTCGATGACAATACGTTTAACTATTTTCACATTTGTTGTATACTTCAAATTAAGTCTAGTCTATGCGTTAATTGGCAATTTTATCGATGGACTGGCTGGGTCTTATACTAGTCTCTTTGCGATACTGTTTTCATATGTGTCTGATATTACATGTACCGGAAAGCAACGAACCATAGCAATAGTCGTAGTAGAACTTGTGATCGGACTTTCATTTACGGCCTCATCTATAGTATCCGGACATTTGATAGATCAGTTTGGCTTCTTTTATCCGTCGATGGTAAATTCTATCATATCTGCAGTAGGGATTTTGATACTTCTATTTCTGGTTCCAGAAACTATGCAACGCGATCGAACAGAGCGACAAGTTAGACCGACTGTCTGGAAAAGTTTGGCGGAATCTTTTAGATTCTATTTTTGTGATGGAACGAAAATTAAGCGTGTAAAATATGTTTTATTAATGCTTTCATTCTTCTTCATGGGTATACCAGCAATGAGTAGGATGTCTATAGAAGTACTGTATCAGTTAGGTCGACCATTCTGTTGGTCGCCAACAAAAATAGGCTGGTTCGGGGCCATCAAGATGATTGTGGCGTCATTATTTGGTATCGGAAGTACTTATATATTTAAACGTTGTGTGGCAGATGATACCATTGCCTTCTATAGTTTGATTCTAACTGCGGCTGGCTACGTGGTGGAGGGATTGGCCAAGACTGATTTTGCCTTATATAGCGGTAAATATGTTGCTGTTTGTTTGTTTCATTTTACGCCATTTCCCAACAGTATTTTAGTCATATAGGCGGGTAGTTTCCTAACCATCATTCCTGGAGAGTTACACCAGTACTAGACTACCTTCCTCCGCGCTAAACTAGCAAAGCATCAAGTATGTTGCAAAATATTTTATATGTCTTGTCTTACATTAAACAAAAGTTATTCAAATGCAGGCATATTTTAATTGGAATTTAATTGATTTTGATTGATTTTGAATAGTTGCTGTATATTGTCAGTCTTGTAGGAAGCTGTTTTGATAAGATTGATAGCTTTATTGAATATAATGGATGACATTTATCGTTTTTAAACATATCAATAAATACCCATCAAAATATGTTATACATATATTTCTATTATATCTACATAAAACTGTACAATTATAGTGAAGGTTTTTAGTATAATTATGCCCCCATTTCGAAGAAAAGGGGGTATATTGCTTTGCACTTGTAGGTCCGTCGGTCCGTCGGTCCGTAGACCAAATGGTTTCCGAGTGATAACTAAAGAACCCTTAGGCCTAGGAACTTCAAACTTGGTATGGTGATTGGTCATGACCAGTAGATGACCCCTATTGATTTTGGGGTCAAGGGGTCAAAGGTCAAGGTCACATTGACCTTGTAAGCAAAAACGGTTTCCGATCAATAACTAAAGAACCTTAAGGCCTAGGAACTTCAAACTTGATATGGTGATTGGTCATGATCAGTAGATGATCCCTATTGATTTTGGGGTCAAGGGGTCAAAGGTCAAGGTCACATTGACACCTTGTAAGCAAAACGGTTTCCGATCAATAACTAAAGAACTTTAAGGCTTAGGAACTTCAAACTTGGTATGGTGATTGGTCATGATCAGTAGATGACCCCTATTGTTTTTTGGTAAAAGGGGTCAAGGGTAAGGTAAAATTGACCTTTGTAACAAAAGGGTTTCCTAATAACAAAAAGACTTTAAGGGCCTAGGAATTTCCAAAATTGTAGGTGATTGGTCAGACAGTAGAGACCCCTTTTGTTTTTGGGGAAGGGGGTCAAAGTAAAGGGTAACATTGCCCTTTTGGAAAAAGGGGTTTTTGATCAATAAAAAAAAAAACCCTTGGGCCGGGACTTAAAATTTGGGTTGGTTTTTTTGGAAAATGAACAGATTAACCCTATTGTTTTTTGGGTTAAGGGGTAAAGGTAAGGTAAATTGGGATTGTAAAAAAACGTTTCCCGATAAAATCAAAAAACCCTTAGGCCTAGGAATTAAATGGTATGGTGATTGGTCATGCCCACAATGCCCCCTATTGTTTTTGGGGTTGGGGGTAAAAGGTCAAGGTAATTGACTTTGAGAAAAAACGGTTTCCGATCAATAATAAAAAACCCCTTATCAAAGGGAATTCAAATTGGTATGTGATTGGTCTAAACAGCAGATACCCCTATTGTTTTGGGGTTAAGGGGGTCAAATTTAGGTACATTGACTGTAGAAAAAAACTTTTCCGTAAAAGAAGAACCCTTGGCCTAGGATTTTAAATTATATGGTGATTGATGAAGTAGATCCCCTTTGTTTTGGGAAGGGTAAAGGAAGGTCACATTGATTTTGGGGAAAACTTTTTCCGATCAATAAAAAAAATCCTTGGGCCCTGGGGAACTTAAATTTGGGATGATTATTGGTCATGAATAATGCCCCCTATTGAATTGGGGTTTTGGGGCAAAGGGGCAAGGTCACATTGACCTTGGGGGAAAATGTTTCCCAATCAAAAATTTTAAGCCCTTTGGGTAGGAATTTAAAACTGTAGGTGTTGGGTATGCCCACAGATGATTTTTGTTTTTTGGGGTAAGGGGGTCAAAGGTAAAGGTAAATGACCTTGTATTTTAAAAAGGGTTTCCGTAATTAACTAAAACGCTTAGGCTGGAATTCAAATTTTATGATTTTGGTGTGAAGCAGATACCCCTATTGATTTTTGGGTAAAGGGGGCAAAGGTTAAAGGTCATGACCAGTATACTGAAACCTTTTTTGTTTGATCGGGGGTCAGAAGTCATAAAAACTTAAAAGATAATTGGTTTAAGGGGGCATCCAGTTTTACAAAATATTTTTTTTAAAATATTTAGAAGATGTTAAACCAAAATTATGTTTTTAAATACTAAAGGGCATTTATTTTTGACAAAAAATTTTTATTACAGTAATGTGATAGGCCCCTTCGGGCCTCCATTCCAATAAAAAGGTTTGATGTCATGCCTTACCCTGTGATAAACAAGGTATTTTTCCCCAAAATT